GGCCCGGGGCTAAAATAAGAGTAGGAAGAACTTTATTTTGGATATCAAAAGGAAATAAAATACTTTTGGATTTTTGGGGTTGGGTTGGACGAAAAGAGGATTGGCCAGTGGAACCCCGAGGTCAAAAACGAAAGTTATTTGGCCTTCCGGGTTAAAGGACTTTGAATTGTTACTAAAATGGATCATAATGTTTGAACGTAAGTCCTTTGGTTCCCATGGGAGTGTGGGACATGGGGGAGGGTAGGATAGGGCCGGGCCCAGATATAACACTTCTGCCCCCTTTGCATTGTCATCCACGTTGTTAACCATATCATCAGAAACATCAATGGTCCTGTGAAGTATTTACTCTTTCCATCCTCCCATCTGATTGCACTGTCTATCAATGTCCTGTGCACATATTCACACCAATTCAATCTCACTACTGAATCAATGTTAGCTATGTTCTTCAACACAGCAGGGTTAACGTAACCATGGCTTAGAGTATGTACGAGAAGTGCACTACCAACAACACAAAATTGTGAACAAACCACACCCCACCCTCCTCGTATGTCAACAGCTTCTGACCCAACTCCAACGGCGTTATTCTATTATCCTTCTTGCCAAATTCTGCTCTCCACTCCTCAACCAAGCTACATTTCTCACTCCTTGCTTTGTTACTTATCTTAATATTTCCCCTCGGCAAGCCCAACACATGCTCAACATCTTCTATGCTGATATGCAATCTGACATGCTTTGGAAGCTCAAGTGTGCTGCTCCTTGGATTAAAATTCTTTACCACCCAATACCCCAATTTGGCAAGCAGCTCTGTCAACCGTAACCTCAGAATAGAACCGAAACCAATCTTTTCTATCTCCTGCTTTTGGATGTTATTCAGAGCATCCAACACTCCCTGCAACACATGTGGTGAAGATCTCGTCTTTATCCTCATGTACTTTTCCTTCATCTTCCGAAGCCCGTCCTTCCTTTTCTTCACCACTATTGCAACTTTTGAATTCACAGGTTGAGGGATATCCACACTGATATTCTTCTTTGGGGGTTCCTCAAAATCATCGTCACTATCAGAACTATCACCCTCATGCTCAGGATCTTCAGCATCATTTCCAGCACAATCCATAACCTCATCGTCATCCTTATCCTCTTTCTCTACATCATCAGCATCTTTGGACCCATCATCCTTTTCTTCACCTAAATCCACATGTTCAGCATCCCGCTTTGGTCTCTTCTTAAGCTGTACCAGCATCAGCCTACCACTTCTACGCACGGGAGATGCCCTTTTAATAAATTCTGCTTTCCTTTTCAAGGCAAACACCCCACCAGCACGCGCATTTGACTATGGTGAGCCTACATTTCACATGAAAGATTAAGTATTACACACCTATCTCTTAAAATTTCCAACAAAGTAAGCAACAACTAAACATGGAATACATATTCATCAAATCACCCCATCCAACTGAAGGATACATGACAATGTTATTTTTTTTGTGAAATTCAACACAATATGATACCACATTAAACACAAAATAGCTAAATAAGATAATGCTAAACTTTCTACTTAACATGCAACTTAGGTACACTACAATGTGCCATAACCATGAAGTTAAAGAAGCAGTCGAGAAGACTTAAAATGCATATGATTCTTGATGATATGCATCAGTACAAGAAATCTAATGCACTGTCATAGTATTCCCATGTACATCTCTCTGTTACTTATTCATTTCAAAGAAAAGAAATAATTCCTGGCCAGTATGCATACTACAGAATAGAACACCCCAACTACAAAACATGCAAATCCAGTACATTATGATGTTTGTCTACTAACTACAAAATATGCAATAACACTTCACTGAAATGAACCATATCTGGTAATGAAAAACACCGACATTATTCTTTATTCTTCAAAAGAGGAACAACAATCGTATGACAACATTGCATTCTTCAAAACCAACTAACACATCTACCAACATATCAAGCTGCACAGTACCAAAAAAACAATTGCTAAAACCAATATGCTAAAAAATATTGAGACCAGAAATATAAACAGAATATTTACCATATAATCCTTACACACACACAGAGACACCAATTCATAACAACACACTACAGAATTACAACTGCAATGTGATACCATACAATAAAAAACACATCATGTATCAACCAAAAAAACTAATTCAACTAACATCCATTCTGAAATCATTTTCCTATGCAATACAACTACAATTTCCACCCCCCTTAAATAATCAAATTTAAACAACTATGACCTAATTTGCAATGAAGAGGTCCCAACATTACATATTACTTGTATATTCTTCACATTTAAAAATCAATTCTTCACACGTGCACACAAAATAGTTTAATGCTAGAACACAAATATACTCATACCCAAAATCATTTTTTTCCCATACTAAATCCCTACACCCAAATTCCAAAATCTGTTTCATGAAAGTCAAGACTATTACACTTTTTTTATAAAATGAAGCACATTACCACTGCACTTAATATGTCAAAACCAATCCATACTGCAAATCAGAAAAAGTAATTACAGATGCACCCAAAACTCGCAGAGAAGAATGTCGAAGACCCTTTAGAAATTAAAACTACAGATGCATTAATCAAGGGCATGCAATACAACCAAAACCCCAAATCAAATAGACCCTTTCGAAATTAAAAAACGCATACCTTCCACCACCACTGCTGATTTCCCCACAGTAGTCATGCCTGAGAATGCAATTTCTAACAGCCTCCTCCTTCACGAGGTGTCCTTCTTCTTAAGGCGTGCACTGCAACTTTCTCTCACTTACCAATTTCACTCTGAACGAAGCTCTGAAGAATGCAGCACCGGCGGAAGAAAAGGGTTATGGAAGAAAGCAAAAAGACTTCTATTCAAGGCAAAATGCGTAAGTGGCGGGATATTAAAGATCTGCACCTTTTTTACGCTTATTAATGTACTTCTCCATTTCCAGAAATGCCCTTCCACGTGTCTGTCTCATTTAACATACCCAATAACAATTCCCCTTTCCTTTTATAAGATAATTTATGTTGCATATTGGAGACTGCACGATGGAGTAAATCTAATGGATCTAGATCATTCTCATTTCTTTCACAGCAACTCATTCTCACTTGATCCCTCCCCTATATATATATATATATATATATATATATATATATATATATATATATATATATATATATATATATATATATATATATATATATATATATATATATATATATATATATATATATATATATATATATATATATATATATATATATATATATATATATATATATATATATATATATATATATATATATG